AAAAGAAAAGAAAAGAAAAGAAAAGAAATGGGTTAGTGTCAAATGGAAGAGCTCTGAAGGAACAGGGAGGTCCAAAGTGCTACATCTGTACACTCAGATGGAGAAAAAGCTTACCATGGGCATCCAGACAATTCTGCTCCACTTGAATGTTCCTAGTCCACAGAGACTGAGGTTTATCATAGTATAGGAAAGCTGCTCATTTGATTTTTCTGTTTGCTTGTTTTTTGGGGGGTACCTGGGATCAAACTCAGGACCTGTGCTTCTGAGGCAGGCGTGGTGCCACCAAGCTAAATTCTCAGCCCTGCTTATTTGATTTTGAAATAGCAGCCTGACAGCAATACTGGATGATTCTCTCCAGTGAGGGAACTGTACAGAGAACTAATACCTAATAGATTTCCCTCCAGTTTAGGGTGGCTGTCGTATATAATAGCTACCTTCTTCTTCCCAACATGCCCCTATTCCCGCCAAAAGAGTAACCTAATACTTGCTCTCCTCCTAGGAACTAGTGACACCACAGGCTCCTCCAGCCCCTAGCCACTACCTCACTTAACCCCACCCCAGCTCCTACAAACCCCACCCCAGCTCCTATAAGAAGTGCTCCCTGCCCGGGCCATATTGCTTTTGTCTCTCCTTTGTTCAGAGACAGCCTGGCAGGTCATCCCTGCAATAAAGGCTTGTTGTGGCCTGGTCTGGTCTTGGTTTTTGGCTTTTTTACCTGACATATCTGGTGCTGAAACCTGGGAGGCAGGCAGTTGATTAAGGGACAATTCCCCATGGGTCAGGGTCGATTGGCCTTTCGACCATCTCCTCTGGACCACATCTGCCAAGCCAGGACCCTCTCGAGGCTTTCTACCTTTGCCATTGCTGACATTACACACCCCACACTGGTCACCAGTCTCTGGGTGAGTAGGCAGTTCAGCCTCCCTCTCATCAGGTTCTCTGTCTCATTCTCATTCTCTCCCTCCAGGGACTTCTCAGAAATCCAAGTGCTTGGTCAGAGAGACCCCTTAGCCGCTGGGCCCAGGACCGTGCCCCTGGGGGACACCCCACTGGCCTGGCTCCTCTCATTCTCTCCCTCTGGGAGGCTCATTCAGAGATTGTCAAAGAGACAAGGACGCTCCTCTCTTTTGCCTTTCTCCAAGGGAGCTGCCTCCTCCTCCTCACCCACTCTTGGATTGTTGGGGGCCCAACAATCCAAGCCTTCTCCCTCAATGCCTCTGGGCTGCCTCCTGGCACAACTCAAACCCCTCGGATTTTTGGGACTAGACTTTAAGCCAAAAAGACTTGTTCTCTATTGTAATTAGGTTTGGCCTCCGTATAAATTGGATAATTGGTCTCAATGGCCCAAAAATGGCACTTTTGATTTTAACATACTGCGTGATTTACACAACTTTTGTCAACACAATGGCAAATGGTTAGAAATCCCCTATGTACAAGCCTTTTTCTACCTATGCTCTTGACCCTCCGTCAAACCTGTTCTTCTCAGGTACTCCTAGCCCGAATTTTGTCACTCACTCCTCCTGATTCCACTCTTTCTGACTCCGACACATTCGATCCAGTTGATCATTCACCACTCCCCCTCCCCCACCCTAAAACCCTCTAAACTCTCTCTGCCTCTTCCCGTGCTTCTTCACCTCCACCATCTTGTGATCCTCCTTTGTCTCTGCCATCTTGTGACCCTCCATTACCTCCTCCTCTTTCATCTCCGCCATCTTACATTTCCCCACCCCACACCCATTCTCACTATCCCACCCTTCCACCATCAGCCCCAGCCACACAGATGTCCATCCAAGAAGTTGCCAGGACTGAGGGCATTGTTAGAGTACAAGTTCCCTTCTCTTTCTCTGATCTTTCTCAAATTGAAAAATACTTAGGTTCCTTCTTCTCTGATCCTGATGTCTATATCAAAGAATTTGGTTACTTGACTCTGTCCTATGATCTGACTTTACACTATATCTATATGATACTGACTTCTACCCTTCCCCCCAGGACAAGAAAAGAGTTTGGATGGTGACCCAGACCACAGCAGATACATTTTATGCTGCTGATAACACCCAGCCAGTGGGAATGCAGGCCATCCCCCAAGAAGACCCACAATGAGACTCTTAGCTAGGCCAGGCAGATAGAGGCCACAGAGACCATATGACTCTCTGCCTCATAAAAGGTTTTAAAAAGACAGCTCACAAGTCTGTTAACTTTGATAAGACTAAAACATAACTCAGACCCATAAAGAAAATCTGACACAGTTTCTGTCATGGCTCACTGAGGCCCTTCAAAAATATACCAAAATTGATCCTACCTCCCAGGCTGACATGATCATCTAACACTCACTTAATCTCTCAGTCAGCCCCTGATATTAAGAGAAAGCTAAAAAAGGTTAAAGAGGGTCAAGCAGGGCTTGCACTCAGATTAAAAAAAAATTAAAAGAAAAAGTGATGGATTAAAAACAGCTAGAAGAGCTCTGAAGAACACAAAACAAACTAGTGAGGAAAAAACACTCCTGACTTAAAAAGCCAAGGTGAGCGCTATGTTATCCCAAAACAGAGCCAGAGAAACTACAACTGTGCTCTACCACACATCAAGAGATTTTACAAGAAAAATTAAGTTACAAATTTTAGATAATTGATAATTGCATTTGTTTCAATTTGAGTTGATGTTTAATTGGTGTGCTTAAAACACTTCTTGTGCATTGTAAATTCTTGAATTGTAATTATAGGGTTAACTTGCTCTTTTCTGTACTTTGTTGATAAAAAAACTCAAGGTTACTACTGTTGACAACCAGTCAAATTTTAACATGT